GAACTTAAGGAAAAAATTTTTAACAGTGAGGGTGACAGAGCCCTGGAACAGGCTGGAACACCCAGAGAGGTTGTGGAGTCTCCTTCTCTGGAGATCTTCAAAACCTGCTTGGATGCAGTCCTGTGCCACGTGCTCTAGGTGACCCTGCGTGTGCAGGGGGGTTGGACTAGATGACCTCTAGAGGTCCCTTCCAACCTTAAGCATTCTGTGATTCTATGATTCTATAGCATGTGATTTTGGACATTAATTTCCTAAAATAGAGGTGTGTGAATGTCGTAGGTTGTAGAAAAGCTTTTCCTCTGAAACGTCTCTCCCATCATGCAGCTGGAGTCATTTAATATTCAAAGCTGTGTCCATTTATATTTATCATCTGCTTTTATTGCTGACATTTATTTACATCAGAAATAAAGGCTGATGCAGCTGTGCTTACAGGTGGTGTTATTTATAGCAAAAGAATTAGTCCCATGTCTATTTAAGCTCCTCAGAGAACTGTTATTTCAGTGTCCCTTATTTTAGGTCTTTGTCATGTGCTGTACCCCCCAATTTTAGCAAGTTGAACACTATGAGAGAAATGGGAAAGGAGGTAAAAGAATTCTGGCTTCAAAGCCCTGCTGGGAGGCAAAAAATGGTCACTAAACTGGAGCTACGGAGACTGATGTTACCTCAAGGCTGCTCCTTTTGACTGCGGTCACTGAAACCCACTGATTCACAGTCTCTCAAAAACCTCAGAAATTCACACGTCTGTCTTCTATTTCCTGACGCGCTAAAGGACCAAAGCTTAAAATTTCACCGCTATTACACATTCATTAAGACATCTCCCTGATATGGCTATTTTATTTAAATGACAGGCAGAATTACTATCATGAGGCTAAGTTAGAGCTAACAGGTTTGTACTAATGAAGTTGCATTCTTAATGTATCATCTTTCAGTGAAACACAATCCACAATATTAATTAGCTTATGATGCACTTACAGAGCAGGTTCTAAGCCTGAAAAATGTGCCAGGTTACTTTGAATTTTTTAATCTAAGAGGAAATACACTTCCAGTGGCTATTAAAAATGACTGCTCGCCTATCCAAAAATACCTTCAGCCCAGTGGAAATGCCAGCACTCCAACGATGGACTAACACACAGTCTTTATGACAAGCTTTCATTATAATGGTGAGATGTTTTTACCTTGTTTAAAATGAAGAATCTAATCAGGACAAAGAGTACTCCAGACATCAAGCCAGATAAAAGTGGGGAAATAAACCAAGAGGCAACTGTATTAAAAGAGAAAGAACGTAACATGAAGTAAATAGCATTATTTGCATAACAGCTAAGTAACTAATGGATAGCGAGCAATACATTTAAAACTGTTCTTGCCCAACAGGGATGAATGTCCCATGTGTTTATTTATAACTGGCCCAGCTCAATTTCCACCACGGAGAATAAAGTGGAAGTAACGCTTGGCACTATTAAAAACATCAATTCAGAAGGTTTCCAGCTCATTTTATGAGTTAAGAAATCATATTAATTGGGAAAAATCTCTTCTAGGTTGATGCAGATTGGAGCAACCCCCCTAATTTGCTGGTCGTCATGACTCTGAACATTGCAAGCACATGTAGAGTAATTGCATTTAGGGGGATGCCATGCTGTTCAAAGAGCAAAAGCCTCCATTTCCAAAATGCCACGGAGGCACCAGTTGTAGTGAGCAACACGCATCCATTTTTGCAGGCAAGACTTTCAAGCGTTCCAGACTGATTTAGCTGAAGTAGGTGGCAAAACTCCCACTGCTTGCAATAAAACAGGATCAGGGCAGCGCTCTGGAAATCTCACCCAATATGATTTATCGTTTGCGACACGGTTAGCAGACTGATGCTGCCGTCATTTCAAACTTGCTACATGATTCCCTTTACTTTCAATAGCTTCTCTGCTACAGCTTCTTTAAGGCTCAATTGTATTTCAGCGCCTTCGCCATCAAATCCTCTTAATCCTGGGTTCAGGCTGTCACTTGGGTTACAAGGCTTCCAAAACAACAAGAGACCTCCTCCAGTTCCCTGCTTGGCTACACTGGGCTCGGCAGCGCGAGGCTGTGATTTAAACACGTGCTCTACGGCCAGTTTTTGCTTCCCCCGAGCAGGTGGGTGGAGGAACACGACTGTGGGCCTGCACACGAGGGCCACTGTTGTCGGCTGGCAAGGAGGAGGAGGCTTGTGCTGCCCCCAAAAGAATTAGAAGAGGAGGGATGTCACCTTTCAGCGTGGACATGACGCACAATCTGTCCTGGGGAGTCAAATTTGCATATTTTACACTTTCTGAATGACAGGATTGGCACGGAAAATATCTTAAGTAGGGAGTGCTACCACCACAAAGCACATTTCTGTGCAAGGTTTTGCAGGCTCCTCCACGTACCCTCTCCCACATAAAAGGAAACAGCAGTTACCAATCTTGACCAGCTGCATCCACTGAACCCCCTGCGTGCCGATTGCAACGAGGGAGAAGCCAATCGTAGCCCCTACGATGCAGTGAGTCCCCGAGATCGGCAGTTTCAAGAAAGATGCAATCAGCTGCCAAACTGCAGAACCTAGAAACAGAAGCAGGGGGAAAGAAATATCAGCCACAAACAGCGGCAGCAATAATAATGTCACACAGAAAATTCTTTACCACGTACCCACATTCTTTTTGTTTTACAAGGGCTGCCTACACGCTGCATGCGCAACAGAGACCCAAAGGGTGTTTTGTTCATGTTCAGTCTGTCTCTAAAAGCAGACACTAAAAAAATGTAAGAGCAGCTCTGACACTGCGTCTTGTTTATGATTTTTTATGACTAACAGCACTTTGCATCACACAGCATTAGTACAATCTTGCCCTTTTGAGTGGCTTTCAGCATTTACAGCCCACCAGACTAAATATACAAACTGATTGCACTCTGCAACAGACTTGGAAAATCTCATTCATGAGAATGGAACTGGGAGCCTTGGATAGAGAAAGGTAAGAAAAGAGGGAGTTTTCCTTTGAGTTAAGGGTAAAAAAAAGCAGAAACAACTGAGAGTGGGAACTGGACAGTGAATTAACAAGGGCAAACTGTGAACTAGAGACCAGAAGCATGAACCAGGGCCCACCAAAACAGCTTGTCACCCTCAAGGTCTTAACAGCCAAGCAAGATTTTCCTTCCACTGCTCTCTAGATTGGCAGGTTGTTCAGTTCATAAGGCAGTGAATACACACTATTCACAAAATTCACTTAATTTGGGCATCCACAGCAACAAGAGCTGACTTCCCTCTCTCATATAATACTTCACTTTAAAATTAGGACAGGCAAGAGTCTCAAAGAAGTAAATTGGAACAAGCCACCAACTCTGTGCAGAAAATAAACTCCAGTCCTTCTTGGATGATCAAAACATAGACTTACTTCAGAGGCTGACATTCAGTTACTGTCATAATCTGATTTTTTAGCTTCCACAGTTATTTAGACTGATAGAGGAAATTGCAAATATTACCTAGGCTTATCTCCAAATGCAAGGTCTGACTCTTTTCCAGCAGTTGCAGTTCCCTGAGTTTAATTTGACTTTTCAGCCTCAAACTGCTTGGTCTGGGTTTTATATCCAAAACTGATTTTGAGGTCTTTAATGGTTCTTTTATACATATATATAGATATATATTTAATATCTACTCTGCATGCTGGGCAGTTGTGCTGATAAAGACCCCATGGAAAGCACTGGATAAGTTGATTCAGTCCTGTTGATTCAGAGATCAAGATGACCTGTCCTATCTTGCTGACCCATCCTGACCTGCTGACCTATCCTGCTGACCTGACCTATCTTGTCATTTGCAAGAGGCAAGGAACCCTTTGGTCTGATGGGTCTGTTTCTGAGGGGTGGTCAGTGTCCTCCACAGCGAAGATGGCCTGGGGAGAACTCTTGCACTACCTTTCTTTGCACGGGTGAAATTCAGAGCTGCAGAGATGGCTTATCTTACTCATGGAGCAGCCAAAGATATCCTTGGCATAAAGGAAGAAGATCCCTTAAACTATCCAGGATATACTGGCTAACGGTCTACAATGTAAAACCAATGCCTGGTGTCACAAGAGGCATTCTAAGGAAAGGGATGTCTCCCAGAACCTGCTGGAGAAGGGCTGGAGAATGAAGCAGAAGCTGGTGGGTCAGGAGGAGTTGGGTAAGCAGCTGCCAGAGCCCTGTGCAGGGGGGCAGGAAGAGGGAAATCAAGACCAAAAGGTCCTTTTTGGAGCAGCTTTGGCTGCAGAACCAAAACTGTGACAGTTCTTCCATGACTGGAGCAGAAGAAAGTGATGTTACGCTGCTGTCACTTGACAGAGATTTCATTTTTTGCTATTGCCCATATAAAGAAGTCTGCATTGGGCCAGTATATATTGACAGATCTAATGTATCTTCTGTCATCAGCACGTGAAGAATCTAAGGTCTATCTATAAAAATGCTTCACAGACCGGTCTAAGCAGGATTTGTCACTTTAGACAAGCTAACATACGATCAGATTTCCACCTTATAAATACCAAGTGGTTCAGCCTTGCCAGACCGATTCGCTGGCATCAGGTACAGCTACATTTGGAAGTCAACCAGTTTGTAAAGCTGATCTCTCCTGGGATACTACCCCAAAACAACTGGTCCTCCTATCGCCATTGGAAATTCTAGATCAAACAAGAAGCACCTGCTCTTTAATTTATTGGCTTCTCTCCTCCCATTCTAAAATAAAAATAAAAACACTTAGCAACCTTTGACATGAACTTAGAGACTGGCAAGTGGAAGTGAGGTGAAAGATAAAATACGTGGTAAAATCTTCAAAAAAAAAAAAGAAGGAACAAGGAGAACAAAGAGATAAGTCAGATAAATAATTACAAATTTCATATTCCAAATATTAGGAGAAATGCATCCAAGCCACAGCTGCACTTTAAATGTGAAGAGAAGGTTATTTTTCCTGGGTGGATGGGGGTGACATGGGGAGTATGCAGCTACTTAATTATTTAAATTTAATTATTTAATTAATTTAATCTAGACAACAAAGAGAAGAGGCGGAGAGGAAATAGCAGAGGACTGATAGGACTATGTGTGGTCTGGAAAAGTTCAAGTAGGCACACAGGAGAACAGAAGAAAGTACAGGTTAAACCAGAGTAGAATTTTCTTATGGAGCCTGCAGTGCCCAAATCCAGAGGCCTCATCAAGTAGGAACATCAGGCCATAACTCCTCTTTAATGTAAACATGAATGTTCCCCTTGTTTTTCTTTTTTTGGCAAGAAGCTAGGAACCCAAAGGCTCAACAGAGAGCTGCCACAGAGTCTCCAGTTCAGACTTCCCATGCTTTCTCCCGCCGTTTTCCTGGATGCCCAATCTCTCCTTGCTGGTGGCACCTCTTAGGGCACCTGGACGGCTGCGTTCAGCTGCCACCAGGCCGGCCAGAAGGGCCATGAGGCGGCCGCAGAGCGCAGCGGGCAGCCAACGCTGTGGAGGAGCAGGCCGCCCTCACAGCAACAGGCCGCAACCTCCCAGCCATCCAAACAACAGCCTCTAATCTGCTACACGCGGTGGTAAAACTGTGTCATCCCCCATTGCTCCCGGCTTCCTTTTCTTTTAGGGAAAAAGGCTGCCCTGAAAATTCTCATCTTCTGTTTGCTGCAAGCATCAAAGGTCCTTCCAGCAACAACTGGCAAGAGGATACGGACAGACTTTTGGTCTCTCCCAGACTCTTGACTCATCTCAGCCTCATCAAAAAGAAGCTAAATCCATTCAAAACAACATGCAAGAGACACCGGGGGTTGGCGGGGAGAGGAGGAAGGGGAAGCTGAGCGAAAGAGAAACAAGAAAAGAAAACACAGAGAAAAGGTCAGAGAAAACAGGGGGTGAAAAATAGAGTATGTCCAGAGAAAAGCTGGAGATGGATTTGAGAAAAACTGAATCTGCAGTTCATTACTTGTGATTAATTCAGAGATTTCAAATGTGGAATTTATTCTTAATGCCCCTTACTGGGGGAAGGGAATGCAACCGGTCATGAAGTTCACACAGGCTTATGTAAATACACACGCAAACAAGTTGTTTTCTTTGAGCTTCTGGCCAGTTCCCTCTGTAGGGGGCGGATCTGAGACTTCAAAAATTTGCCCACACAGGCTCAGGATGTCAGAAATACAGATAAGGAAAAGGAGCCTTCCTATCAAGGAGAAAGCTTAAGAACATGAGGACTGGAAGCTGCACGTCACTTGCACTGCAATGGCATGTGCTGCTCCCATGCAAGTACCACTGGAACTTACAGAAGTATCTTTAGAAAGGGCTGAAGAATATAAGCGCAGCAGTGCTAACAAACCTGGGAAACAGGCCATCCTACAGCAGAAGAAGGAGCCCAGGAACCTGGGGTTGACTAGGCAAGACATTGGTAAACAGCAATTCACTGTGTGCCCAAGAGTGTTTGCACTCTTTGAATTGGCCAACTCCTTTTCCTCTTGCCTAGTCTGAAGAGGGTTTGGTAAGAGCAAATGCCAGGGCACTTCCCAAAGAGAAGCACGAAAACCCTGAGAGCAACTGAGAAACCAGCACTCAAGAGTCCATCCTGGGCCTTGCAGAGTCTCAAACCTTGGTTGCACTAAAAGGAGGGGAAAATAACCACGTGTGTTAAGAGTTTTGTACCAAGCCACCCCTTCTGTTGGCAGGTGCTGCCTGCACTTCCCAAAGAGAAGCACGAAAACCCCGAGAGCAACTGAGAAACCAGCACTCAGAGTCCATCCTGGGGCTTGCGGAGTCTCAAGCCTTGGTTACACTTAAAGGAGGGGAAAAAAAAACACGTGTGTTAAGAGTTTCGTACCAAGCCACCCCTTCTGTTTGCAGGTGCTGCCTAAAAACTGTTGGGAGACTGATGGGACTAGGCAGAAATAGGGAGGTTTAAGGGGGCAACTCTTGAACGGCAGACAGGGGTCCGTGGGGTATTGTATCTCTCGTGGGTGCGAGGAGCCGCCGACCCCTCGCTTGGGCTTCCTCTTCTGCAGTGAAAACGTTGGCCTCTTGCTGTCTCCTGCCCTTTAAAAGCAGTTTTGCTAGCGATTCTGAAGGGACCTCTCCAAAAGCTCACAAAGCTTCTGGGACATAACAAAGAATAAATAGCAAGGCTTAATGTTACTTACCTCGGAATACGCTATTTGTTCTAAATGGAGATGGATTTAGCTGCAAATAAAAGCGCACAGACACTATGGCCCACGGAATTATCACCAGTTTGAGTCAAAGAAACATAAAAATACCTTAAATGTGTGACCATGTGTCTTTACTGTTCCTTTCAATTTCATCGTGGGCCAGTCTATGACTAATTTTAATCACTCAGCTAAACAATCAATTTCAGCAAATAGGTTTGGATTTCCTGTAATTTTTAGAACAATTTAGATAATTCCTTTTTGCAAGAATTCATTGCAAGCTGCTATTTCTTTAGGTTCTTCTGTCATAAATGATAGGCTTACCTATTTTCCATTTACCACAATAAAAATCTCCCATGTCATGTACTCAGCATCCGAAGAATATATGTGTACATGTATACATATACACACATACATACATAAAAGATTTACTTAAAAATGGGTTTCTTCTTTTACTTCAATGACTGAATCATTGAAAAAAAAAAAGTAAATGATTAGAATATAAGTTACTTAAAATAGGAAACCCCCCAAAAGGCCTCCTGTATTAGGCTTAAACCCAATTCAACCCAATTAAAGAGTTCACAACGGAGAGGAGGACAAGCACCGTTAATGTCATGTGGAAAAGTGGTACTTACCAACCATTGCACTCACTTCTCCTGCCATCAGCAGCGGAACCGTGTTGTTGTACAGGTTAACATCGATTATACCTTTCCGGATTGTTTCTCCTACTTTTGCTCCCAGTAATACTGAGCCAGTGGTTTCAAAAATGGAAGCCAAAATGCAAGCCTGGCGTAAAGTGACAACACCAGAGCCCACAGCAGTTCCGAACGAATTGGCAACGTCATTTGCACCGACCGAAAACGCTAAAATAAAAGCAATGATAAAGCCCACAATGACCATCCACAGGTACTCATCCATTGCCATCTTTTCCCAAGACGTAGCCTAAGCGTTTCCCCTTTACAAACAGCTAATAGACAAGACGAAGGGCACCGTAACGGATTTGGAAAGCGGATTTCTTGTAAACAATGAGCTCTCTCTGGAAAGTGCTGGTAAGTGTTAGAGTGTGAAGAAACTGCTAACTGCTGATTTTCAAACTACTATAAATACTGTTCATTTGGCTGCATTCGGTCAGCAGTGAAACACATTCCATATTTTTTTTGCTCCCAGACTGGTACAACGGCGATGTCCTGTCCTGCAACAGAAGAAAAAAAAAAAAAACGAATATTAAGAAGGGGAATATTCAGCAGAGCCTGCAACAATGCATGTTTTCAGAAGCAAACAGATGATTTAAATCCACTAGTGGGAGCCTACTTTGGCATGTGACTGGCCTAATCATAAAACGAGTAAGAAAAGATTAAAATTAGGTCACCGCCAAAGCAAAATGTTTCTTGCAGTGGCAATGGCTGAGAAAACGTATTGATCATTTGGGAAGGACTTAGAAAGGTCGGGGGTTGTTGGTGCTGAATTTACCAAGCTGCATGATCACATTGTGCTATCGTTATCACATGCACTAAAAAAACACTGGTCTTACATACATAGCACGATGGTTATCAATTACTACCAGGCTAATAGTCAAACCAGGTATTTTACCTCTATTTTTCAGTGCTTTTTGAGGTGGTTTCACTTTTCTGCTATCCTTCTGAACTACACTTTAATTAGTTCTCAATTTAAGAAAAAAAAAAAAAAAGCAAAACTTAGGCCTCATCTCTTCAAGCCACTGGGAGGTATTTTAGAGTCAAACAAGACCGTGCATAGATTGAACTCGTTGCTGCAGCTTCTGGTTCTGTGGGTAATATGAGTATGAAAGGGTCTTAGACAGCAAAGAGAAACATTTTTCCTTACTCTGTTTTCTGTTTTAGTTTGGTGGTAAGACATAAATTGCTGGACTAGGACCATTCAATAATCCTGGAGATTCATGATTAACTCCTTAAGCCTGCATGGATTTACACAAGCATCTTGGCCAAGATGCTTGCCATGCATGTCTGTGCCTCTGTTTTTTCTCCATGAAAAAGGGCAATATCCATGATACCTGTTACGAATTTCATGTCATGAGTGCATTGATTTCAACTTGACTGAAATCCACTGGTGGGTTCAATCAGCAGCCACACATGGATGCAACGGGCATTAGAAGAGACTCAGCTCCTCCATCCACAAGATAAATGCAAATCCTCATGCCCAGCACTGGGATCTCTCTTTTGTTTCCGTATCCACCAACCGAGCAACTTACTGCAGGGACACGAGTTCCTGCAGCAGGAGGAGCACAGGGCCTGGCACGTTCCCTGTCACAACCGAGCTGAGGGGACAGATCTGCTCCCCAAGCCACCCTCGGGTCCTCCAGCTCCCAAAATAAACCCCAAAGTCACAGGGCTGCCCTTATTCACTTCTCTGGGGACAAGATGCTCCCGAAGAAGCTAAACCTTAGCGCGTGTGTGGGGCACAGAGTGCTCCTGCAACTCCTCATGAATGTCAAAGGGTCTGCCCAGATTTCTTGGTGGGCTCTATGTAACCTGCCTCCCAGAAATGGGATAGGAGGTCTTGGGAGAAAAGGAGGTCTTAAGCAAAGAGTCATCGTTGCTGTTGCTCTCCAATGCGAGTTGACAGTCGAAAATAAATGAACTCTCTCTAAAACTTGGGGGACTTGACATCCTTTGCATTTTTAAATGTGACAGAACACAACAACGGTGCCCTGCCTTTAATCAGATCAACATCAAAATGGAAAGAGGAAGCAGGATAAGTGCACATTTAAAATGAACATGCACGCAGTATCTGAATCGCTTGGCATCACTGCTTTCACCTTCGTTAACTGTAAAGGTTCCAATTTTTAAAAAAGAGAAACAAATCAGAAAACAAGAAGTTTCTATCTGCTTCTGCTGCGAAAGCTCTCAGAAATGCAAAATATTTCTACAAAGTAGGCCAGTGACTAAATACAGACTAAATCTTGCAGCAGGCTTCTTTCTAGAGACGAAAATATAGCTGGCATGCTCAGGCACGCTGAGCTACGCCTCTCATCACCTAATCTAACCCAAGAGCCTGTGGCATTTCGTGTTGTTATCAGGACGACAAGGGAAAGTAGAAAAAGCACCATGAAAACTGTCCTGCTGTTTCCTGGGCTCTGTGCGATTAACCTGGCCCTGCCGGACTCGAGGAAATCCTCTGATTCACCTGTGGGAGCGCGGTGGTCTCTCCGCCACAGCCTCCTCGGCTGGCTGCATTGCGCCGCTTGCAGCAGAGCCTCCATGGCAATAAAAAAATCCCGATTTTTGGAAACACTGAGCATGGCTCCGCGCCCCGCTGGCAGAGGAGCTAGACACCCCCCTCGGCGGGCATTTTGCTTCGAGCAAAGCGTTTTATTAGAGATCCGTAAACGTGAAGGGCCATTTCCTTCCCAAGGGAGAGACTCAAACGGAACCCGAGGTAACGCAGCCCCCGGATTCATTCAGAATAACAAGGGAATCTGCAGGAAAACGGCAGGAAGCCGCAGCCACAAGATCACTTCAGGACATGTTTATATTTGGGCATTTATGAAGATAGCTATTCTGGAAACTATTCTCAATACATTTCTAAATGTAGACCAATAAAAAAAAAAGGATGATACTGAAAACCAGTTGCCAGTTCTATTTTTTGAGCAAATTGCTGTTAAAAGAGCAGAGAACCAGCTAACAACCAGGACGAAGGGTTAAGGAATAATTTTGCTCCGGTCTAAGTCCAAAGTCTACGGAAGCAATCAGAGCACGTTACCAACCCGTGATCCAACAGCACAACGCAAGGGGAGCAAAAAGAGACCCCACAAATGTCATTTAATTGCCTCTTGTCGAAAATGAGAGAATATTTTGTATTTAGGCAAAATGTTAGTGATTCATAAATCATATCCTATGCAACTCTCGCGCTCGCAGGGGTTGACTTTAACCTTCAGTGTGCAGTACAGGGATTCGGTGAGGTCCTATTTTGAGTACTTGGTGGTTGTTGTTGTTGCCTAAGTATGAGCCCCCCCCCCAAAAAAAAAAAAAAAGGAAGCAGCAAATGTAGTATTTCTAAAGATGACCACGACCAACAGGGCAGTTCACATCATGACAAGACAGACGGGCGAGGACGACTTCATCTCCCTCGCAGCCTCTCCAGACAGCAGCGCTTCCTCAGAGGCGCTTGATCTGCACCGACAGGCAAGTTCACTGCTAGTTACGGGGGCCTGAAACCCCTCTCCGAAGCGCTCCCCATCCTGCCACTTCTTGGAGGCTGTTACGTGCCTCTGAATTTTTGGCATGCTGTCCTTTAGGTAGGACTGATTTTTCGGGCTCCCTCCTCCGCAGGTAGACGCAGCAAGTTTACAAACAGAGCCTGCATTTCGTTGCAGTGCTATTAAATACAGCTCTGCACGGAAATCGGACCTGAGTTATAACCAGAGCTACTAACTTAGCTCACTTGAGCAGTTCTTATCTTTTCTGGTGCCTGTCCAAGCAATAACACTCCCAAATTATCTACTTATGCTACTAATATAACTCTTTGCCATAGGAAAAGGTGGGGTAATTCAAGTGGGTCCAGACTACGCACATCCCTATATGGCCCTAAATCACATGCGGCGTTTTTGTCACATGGCCAAACGCGATGCAAGCTTAATGCTCCCGCACATTAAAAAAGTGCCTTCCATCTACTTAAAAAAAACAACAAAAAAATCAACTACAGTACATAGGCAGAAACACTCTGTGCATACAGCGGTCCCTGTTTTGACACTTTGCTGCTCGATTCGGAAGCAACGCTGAGGTTTACAGCTTTCCAAGGACTGTCCCCTTCAGCTCCCGACGCTTCCCAAGGATGCTTTCTTTTTTTAGCAGCCTCTGCTCCTACCACTGCAAGGGCAGAAATATCTAGGAAACAGAGTATAATATTTTGTTGCTGAAGAGGCTCATAAAAATAAAAAAGCCCCCCCAGAACAGACCGCAGTCACATTTAGGCAGTAATTTTACAAACCAGCAAAGTGAAGACAGGAAAAAGAGCAACAAGTGCTTGTGGCTCATTTGCTGTTAAGAACATTTTCATCTAGCTAAGCTATCATCTTTAGTCACTGATCAAAGTCTTTCTATCAGGCGAATGGTTTTTATCCACACATGGAAAACACGCAAGCATTTATGAATATCAAAATCCCGATAACTCACCCCGTATTTAAAAGCAGCTTCCAGAGAAAAAGGAGCTCAGCTCTGCCAGCGACTTTCCTCGCGAGCGCAGGCTGCCGTCTAAAATAGATATCCTATCACTCAGCACGGTCACATCCGAGCACGGCGGCGCGCAGAGGGGAAGGGAGGGCTAGAACTTACACAAGCAGCGCCGGGAGAAACCTGCCGGCCGCCCGCGACGGCCCCGCGCCACCGCCGACAAGCATCAACGCGAGGTCGCTCTTATTCCGTAGGTGAAAATCTGCCTCCTCTTTAAGCCAGGAATTCTGCCGGGGGTGGGCGCTGATAAAACACAACACTGCGTCACGGGGGCACCACCGGCACGAGCCAATCCAGCCAAGCTCGTGTTGGAAGCAACAATCGTCCCGCTCTCATTTTTCTTCCCCCAAGCATAGGCACGGACGGGGACGGCTGTTTCTTTCTCGGCCCCGAGCGACCACCGCGGGTGCTGCTTCTCGCACGCGCATGAAACGCACGCTCCAGTACGCTGTGAAAGCGCGTGCAGGGCTGGGGAAAGCTGCTGCATGCTCAACGCTTCACCCGTGCGAGCAGAGGTCTCGCAGGCAACCGCAGGCGGCAGAGAGCAAAAGACGCGGCCCCGGTTCGACTGGATCGGTGCCTGAGCAAGCGACTCCGCTTACAGAAGTTCCCCTAAATTACCCGAGCAAAAGTCCTCAAACCGCTTCTGCCTTTATGGGGGAAACGTTTCTGAATGACTGTCACGGCAAAAAAATTTAAAAAGACGCTTGCCTAAAAGCACCTGGCTTAGCTGCATGAAAAATCCTACATAATACAATTTGCTTTAATCCTATATAATGCAACCAAACCATTTTATTCAACAAGAGGGCATTTAAAACACAGCTGCATTGTTGTGGTTTGAAAATAGGATCCAGACACGTTTATTCAAGCTCATTTCCAGTTGATAAATAAAAGCTGGGTTTCATTTAACATTTTCACTAAGACCTTATGGTTTTAGTCCCTTCTGAGTCACTCAAATCAGTGGCGCCGTGTTCAAACACAGCAA